CTTAAGATATCTTTTGTCATGTGCTCAACACTGAGAGATCTGAATTACAGTATCTTACTCAATCATTTTCAGTTAGAATTTAGTCAGAGACTGATAATTGCTTACTGCATGAGATTAGTTTCCATACATGGTTTCATTTTATTGCACAGATCATACCAAGTTAGTTGCTGCTGCATTGGCAAAATACTACTTGCATGAATATAAATGGAAACACATTCACATAAGGAGTATTTCAATATACTTGGCTTCTGGTTATTTATGGTTTTGGTATGGTACTTGTACTGTATAATTATGTTTCAGAGTTGAATATAATAAAACAAAAACATTTCTTGAGCTTCAGAGAAAATTGAACTATGTAAAATTAAAATTGTACAGTCTTGACCCACTTTTTTCCCAACTTGTTTACTTTACTTTTTATTTTAGAAATATTATTTTTCAACTGTATTGCAAATTTACTTAGTTTCTATGAAGTTAATTTTTTTAACTATATTTTTCACACCTCCCATACTTTTTTCTCCGTTGCTAATGTACAGGATCTCTTTTATTGTATGGTATACAGTAGGTTGTTATGGGCTAATTTCCTCCCTAACTAAGTTCAATCCTGCATCGAACAAGATGACATCAACACAAATATGGTTTATTGCATTTCGGATGAAAGTAACAAGTTAATATTGCCTGGTAGACCGTGAGTGGATTTTACCCCCAAGTTCAAATAGGAGGAGGCTCCAGTTTGATTGATAGACTACATCTGCCATTGTGTTATTCCTTAAACCAAGAATGTATCTTTTCTGATCGGAGTTATGGATGCTGCTGTTGTTTCCTATGTCATAGTTGTAGTGTTAGTTGTTCCAGAATAAATATTTGGCTGTCACAACATAAGGCACAACATTTATATGCACTAGTCATATTAACAACTAGTAACTTGCAATGCTTTGGTGGTGGGTGGTCCTGGGTCCACAGTACTCCCACGTCCCTGCTGATGACAGACTGCCCAGCCAATCATGATTCTTCCCTTTTGGCTCCTCTTAACCATGCCGGTCAGCCCCATCGGATAAGCGGGTTCTAGGTGGCTCAGTTTGAGCCAATCTTTTGACTCATTTCTGAATCCGATGGTTGTGGGTCCAAGCAGTACATCAGCACTTTGAACTCACAGTCCATGCTGACCCTCAAGCACAGGCACGAAGAACTGGATGAACCCTGTACTTATGATTCTACGAACAACACATATTTGTTAGCTCTGGCTATGAACTTTCTAAATCTAAAGGATCATTAAACAAATAAAATCTAATTAAAAAATTCTGAATGAACAAATGCAAATACAAAATTATGGGATATTGCTGCATTAAAAGCCTCAGAAGAAAAGTTACAGAATGTACTGTGCATCAGAGTTGACAGATATTCACATAAATACTTACTGTAGCTTATGAAACGCATCGCGAATTCTACTGTGGAATAAATTAGAAATCCTCTAATGTTTAAGGAAGGTACCAGAAAATGTTTATATACTATACTCTACAGTTTACCCCTAGATACAAGAAATACCAGTAATTGCAGACCCATAAGGAAACCTATATTTAATAGAAATCCTGGTATAAATATAAACAGGAAAAATAGTTAAACCAGCAGATCAATTGCTTTTGCACTGATGTTTATTTTTCCACTCTTGGGGAGTCTGGCTGTTCATTTTAAAACAATACTCCATTATATGCTATTGTTTCTGGAACCTATTTAGTTTCAGAGTAGTATTAGTTCAGCTTATGTACTACTTTTCCTTGATAAATGTCCTCAGTCCTATATGTAAGGTTCGCCAGAAAGAGACTTTACCCAATACAGGTAGTTTGAATTACAAATCTTTTAATATCATACACAGTTCAAAGGTTAATGCTTTAACACATACAATTATTATATCGTTAAGTTAATTGAAGCAATAAGATGCAACAAAACCAATATTACCCAATTTCAATGGGAGATGTAGCTGACCACCAGCTGCCTCACAACCGTTCCTCCTACTTTGATTCCAACTATTCCAAAGTTACATTACTCTATTATGTGTTTCTAACTCCATCTCCCCTTGTCACAGAGATAGCCCCCACCCTTCGCAGGCTGCTTGCGATCTTTGAGCAGGCTTTTTTCACATAGGAAAATAACTGATAAGGAAAAGAGATATGGACAGCTAATTGGGCAGATTTCTGTTTCTTAGTCTTGAGCTAATCAGATGTCCAGGAGTTTGCTTCTCTTCTCTGGGGCCCCCCTTGTTTTCGCATCCGTGCTCAAGGACATGATTACTCAATTCCTAGATGGGAGGGCGACATAGGACCCAAGCACCGAGTGAGGAAAGTTATCAGAACCTGACTTCAGTCGGGGTCAAGCCAATATTTCTTCAACTTTGCTTACGCTAATTGGCACATGTACTCTCAGGGGCCCTCAGTTAATCATTAAAATACACAGCCTTGCTCTAATAAGTAAGGAATTCTATACTAAACAGATTACAAGTGTTTTGTTATATTTTAAAAGTAGACTGAGTAAAAATCTTAAAAACAGTAAGCATCACAAATATAATCTTACATATATATAAGAACAAGAATTTGCTAGGCTAAAGAAGACCAAGGTCCATCTAGTTTGCCTTCCACCATCCTGGTAGTCGCTTGACATGTCGTGTCCCAAACTATATATTGTATCCCAAGATATTATTTTCTAGCAAAAATTATCTAATTTGGTCTTGGAACAAACAACACTTTCTGCTTCCGTTGTCTTCCTAGGCTGTTGTCACCATTGCCTATTCCATAAGTTTACTACTCACTCACTGAAGTAGTGTCTCTGAAGATTTGTTCTATATAGTAGTAATAATAATAATGAACTATCCTGAAGTTCAGGGGCTTTTTAATATTTTTACCATAAAGAAATAACCCCCTTTACTGCCACCATAGGGACTGCTAGGTCTTTTACGTTGTAAACATTATTCACGTTGGCTTTTTCTCCCTTTTCCCAAAGGAGTTTATTCAGGTTGCCCTACAGATGTCAGGTTTTCTGACGAAGTAGCTCAGCCTCGAGAATCACTATGGAAGATTATATCATTATTATATCATTATTACATCTCTGCTCTCCCTCATCCCAACCCTGCTCCCCCACGCTTGGGTCCTGATCCCTGACTGTTCTGCGCCTTGGGACATGAAAGGCACTTTACAGGTGTAATTTTGTTGTTGTTGTTGTTCATTTATGAGCCTCACCAGTCAGTGTTGCCAGGTTGTCCAACTGCGGGGACATCCCAGCTGAGTTTAAAGCTGTTCACTCAGAATGTTTTTCTAAAAGGATACATTTCAAACTGGGGCAGGAGGCATACTGTTCTTGCTACTATCCAGGAGCACTGAAGACAGTTATACAGAAAAACTTGCATAAGTCTTATTTTTGTATATTGTATAATCACCTAAGTCGTACATTCACTCGAGTCCCGTTCAGTTTCCTATCAAAACCACTTAGATATCTTTGCAATACTCATATTAATCACCTCCTAACTCGTAACCCGCTTCCCAACTCTCCATTACTCCCACATTTACTGGCTGCATTGAATCGGGGGAAATAACATCCTGAGCCATCGATGCATGAGCACTTACTAGTCAGCTGCATTGAATCACGGGAAACGTAATCTTGATCAATCAACACATGAAGTACTTTGTTTTCTGCAATTCAGTGCGATACCAATGCTTGATGTGCGCATGCAGCGACGGGTCAAGATTCATTGAATCACGGGAAATGTAGTCTTGATTCTTCATTGCGTGCGCACTAACCGTCTGCAGCCACAAACTGTCTCATGCGCACTTACTGCTGCATTAAATTACGCAGTTTAGATTATTGATTAATTTGGATTTTCTACAATTTATATGTTTGCTCGCAACTCGGACTTCGGTTAAGTCATATTAAATGTTAAGGTCTCGACTGATACGACTTAAGTGAGTTTTACTGTACTGTAACACTGACTCAGCAGATAGCTAGATCCTGATTTGTATAGTTCAGTACTGCATCAAGTATTTTCTTCACTTAACTCTTGTTAGAAATTAATGAAAAGCTTATGTTAAGTAGCTTTTGTTGATAAGAATAATTGTCATGGCATTAGCTGTTACATAACTTGTCATTTTATTTAGTCTTTGAGTCGCTAAGCAATTCAGGCATGAAAATGGCATTTGCATTGCGATTTAATAATAATAATAATAATAATCCTTGCAATTGATATAGCGCTTTTCATGTCTTCTAGACGTCTCAAAGCGCTTCACAGAATATACTGTAAAATGAATTGACTGTATATTTGTGGGCAAAACGTGGCAGCCAATTGCGCACAGCAGTTTAATTAAAATTAAATTTAATAACAAATTAAAAGGCTTAACCAAGCTTCCTCCTTCTGCTCGCCACATGTGGTGCAAAATAGAAAATGATATTACCTATATTACTGTCTTACCTCCTACTGGTAACCTCAGCCAGCATTGTGGCATGCTGTTAAACTTGTTCCATTTCCTGTGACCTTGTTTGGGTTATGCTTGAGTTTTGTACAATACTTCTGATCAGTTACCAAGCAGGTTTTAGTAAACTAACCGTTTTGTGACTCATCATTTTTGCTATGCATTGTGTTATCAGCTTGTTTATGTATCCATGCAGTTATGTAACCATTCAATTCCTAGCATTTGTGTGTGAGCTACCTTAAACGGCTTAAAGATTTATGTGAACATTTTTAATAAAAAAAATTTAAGGAAATTTAGAAACTACTTTTCTGCACTGATTTGAGTACTTTGTACTTTTGAGCTACCGTACTTTGGATAACTCTGATTTAGTCATTTGAGCTATTTTTCTTGGGTGACAAGTTATCAGACTTTCACTGTTTTAAAAAAGGGCTATCGAGTATATATAACTCACTACTGGTACTGTACTTTATTGATGTATTGCTGTATTTTAAGCTGTATTTTATTGATCATTATTAACCATCTATGATTCATTGATTTTTTTCTTCCCAGTTGCTCCGAGAGTTGAAGCATCCCAATGTGATTGCTCTGCAGAAGGTGTTTCTTTCACATAGTGATCGAAAGGTCTGGCTACTGTTTGATTATGCAGAACACGATTTATGGGTAAGGCCCATCTTTCCTTTAACATTCAAGATTTGTTAATGCTAAATAAGAAATGAGTCTCAATTGTAGACCTTCCAGGTTTTACTCTAGGTGACTAATATTGGTGAAAGAGTTATTTCACTATTAGTCTACAACAAACCAAGACAATAGTACACATCTCCAAACCAAATAATACTTTCTTTGAATACAAAGAAAACTTATCAATTATGTTTCACTTGCACACCAGGTGTTAAGACTCTCCTCTCACAACTTTCAGATAATACAGCTACACACACAGAGTCTGCACAACTACACACACACACAGTCTACAGCTAGACACACACGGTCTGTAGAGCTACACACACACAGTCTGTAGAGTTACACACACAGTCTGCACAGTTACACACAGTATGTACATCTAATAATAATCCCTCCAAAACAAAACAATAATAAATTGGTCATATTCAATCCACGACTGTTTGTGGGAGGCTGCTGTGCGCAATTGACTGCTGCGTTTCGCCCACAAATATTCGGACAAATCACTTTATAGTCGATTCTGTGAAGCGCTTTGAGACGTCGAGAAGACGTGAAAAGCGCTATATCAAATGCAAGGATTATTATTATAAATAGACCTACTCATTAGTCTAGGGTCAATTAATTCTGCCATGCAATGCCAGTGCCGTTTCCTGTTTCTGTAGAGTAGGTTGAACTATCTGTCGTGGCTGTTTATATTACTGAATTAAGCAAAATTACTTTGTTACAGGTGCAGTAATTTTGAAAAACCTGAGTATTCAATATATAGCCCCTTGGGGCATTGCAGCCTTTACATAGATCATTCGCTGGCATTTATCCTAGACACCCCCCCCCCCACAGCCAATACTGTTGCTGACTGGTCAATTCACACTCTGAACCAGTTCCAAAGCCCAAGTGAATTCCATCCCATTAAGCTGCAAAAACTACTCAAATAAAAACAATTTCGAAAAAAAAGTGTTGGGTTTCTATTATACACAGCACAGTATAGCGTGTAAGAAGCTGAGTAAACCATATCAGCTAAGATTTTCATATTGTGTGAATTGGGTAAATCTGCACAAAAGAAAAAAAAGCAATATTTTTTATTGCTCAGCAGTTTTCACTTGTCCCCTTCTCTTTGAGGTGCTGCTCCACAAGTAATTGGAGTTCTGGCACCTTGTCATAGGCATCTTCATGTGCAAGGCTTGAGAATGAGATTTATTTTGCTAAATATGATGGACCACAGCAGATGGTTTGATAGGGAAAGGGGCCTGACATCCACCTCCTAGACAGATAAATGCGAATCAACAAAAAACTTTTTTGGGGTTCAACAACAACAACAACAACAAGATTCCATTTATTGAGCGCCTTTCACATCGGGAGGACGTCCCAAGGCGCTGTACAGTTGGGTCAGGACCCGAGCATTGGGGGAAATGGTCAGGGTGAGGGGAGGGAAGGGAGGGAGCGAGGAGGGGGTAGAGAGTCGAGAGGGGAGCTGAAGGCACGGTCAAAGAGAAAGGTCTTGAGACCGGCCTTGAAGGAGGAAAGGGAGGAGGCAAGGCGAAGGCACTGGGGGATAGAGTTCCAGAGCCTAGGGGCTGAGAGGCTGAAGGCCCGGCCACCGATCAAAGGCCAAGTGTAACACATTGCCATGACTAAGGTCTGCAAACTACATATAAACTTGAATTTAAATTTGCAGCCTTCTGGTCTGTACTCACCATGTCAGGTAATATCTGCATTATCATCCCGTTTGGTATCTCAGTTTGTATTTGCCCCAAAAGTATAATTTGGAGAGCTGTCTTTATAGAACTCAGATACAGGCTAACAGCAACAAGGACTTCAAAGCTTTCCATGATGCTTGGTACCCTTCAATCCTTATTCATGATCATAGAAATATGTAAAATTCAGTTATAATTTATTAGTAGATTAAAAGTATAAACTGAAAACTTTCTGCAACTCTCCACTTTCACCAGTCTCCTGGACTCCTATCTGTGACTGAAACATTTAGTAACATTTGGGTAGTAAACCTAATTTTATGATGTTTTCTGATTGGGATTAAGCACGGAAAAAGGTTTCAAGTGGCATGAACATTTATGGAGCCATTAAGTACTTCATCTTGTTACAGTACATACACATGATGCATATGCTATTGGTAAAATAAGCTTCAAGAAGTTACCTTATGAGGCATTTCTGAGAATGGCCTCTAGCAGTCACTTGATGAGATTATGGGTATCATAGATTACTGAATACCTCAGTATGAACAAGATCTTGGACACCAAAAAGAATAACATCAATAGTGTTACAACTTACACATGGATAAAGGTTTATTGGTGCCATTATACGTAATCAAATAGATTCTTTAGATTAAGCAATTTATGCTTATGACTTTTGCGTTTTATACAGCATATCATTAAATTCCATCGTGCTTCAAAAGCAAATAAAAAACCTGTTCAGCTGCCAAGGGGAATGGTCAAATCTCTACTTTATCAGATACTTGATGGAATTCATTACCTTCACGCAAACTGGGTGCTTCACAGAGATTTGGTAAGTACAGTACAATCAAAAGGTCAGTCAAAATGCCAAACTTTATGTAAAGTATAATCATCTTTCATTAATACTTTTTCTTCCTAAATTCTTAAATTGTTTCTCTAGTAACATTTACCAATTTCCAGTAAATGTTACTAGAGAAACAATTTATTTTGGTAAACCTCTATAAAATATCCAAAGTACTCTGAGGACATATAAAATAGATATGATGTATTTTAGATCAATACCTTCTGTGAGTTTTACTGTATAGTATAGCCACATGTGGTAAACCATATTTCCATATTTGTTAGAGGCTGCTACTTCAGATTTGTTTCTGTACAGCAGGTGAAAAATATTTTATATGTGATATCTGGACAACATAAAAATATAGTTTCTGTTTGCAGTAGGATCTGTGTAATTTTATTTCCTATTACCTAATGTTTAACACTAAAATGTGAGAGTAGTAAGAATAATTTAATTTAATATAGGTTCTAATTACATTAGAATACTTCCAATAAATATCATAACAGCAACAACAACAAAGTTACATTTGTTTAGCGCCTTTCACGTCGGGAGGTCTTGAGGGAGGTAAGGAAAAGGGTGAGGCAGAGGGATGGAGTTCCAGAGGGTGGGGGCAGAGTGGTTGAAGGCTTGCCCGTCAATGGTGGGGCAGGTGAGGCGAGGGATGTGAAATAGGCCGGAGCCCGCTGAGTGGAGGGAGCGGGCAGGTTGGTAGGGGTTAGGAAGTTTCAAAGGTAGGGGGGAGCAAGGCCATGGAGGATTTTGAAGGTGAGGACCAAGATCTTGAACTTTATCCTCTGTGTGATGGGAAACCAGTGGAGTCGGGCGAGGATGGGTGTGATAGGGTCACGGAGCCTGGTGTGGGAGAGGACACGGGCTGCAGAGTTCTGGATGATCTGCAGCCTATGGAGGGAGGAGTTGGGGAGGCCGACAAGGAGGGAGTTTGCATAGTCAAGCCTGGATGTTATGAATGCATGTATGAGGGTCTCGGTGGCCTGTGGTGTGAGACAGTGGCGGAGCCGGGCGATGTTGCAGAGGTGGGGAACGGCATACCGGTTCGTGGTATGGATGTGGGGTAAAGGATGGTTGAGGGTCAAACAAGACGCCAAGGTTCTGGACTGGCTTAGAGAGGTGGAGTGTGCATACTTGGATGGTGATGCTGTCAGCGCCTGAGGTGTGGAGGCGCTGACGGGAGCCAATCAGGAGGGCCTCGGTTGACAGCACAACAGTGGTCCTGGAGTCAAAGGTGGAGGCAGAAAGATAGAATTGTGTGTCATCCGCATACATGTGGAAGTTCACCCATGTCTGTGGATAATGTCACCAAGAGGGAGCATATAGATGTTGAAAAGGAGGGACCAAGGACAGAGCCCTGAGGAACGCTGCACAAGACGGTGTGGGGGCTAGAGGAGAAACCATTTGTGGGATGAAGTGGAGATGGTGTGAGAGGTAGGATCGGAACCATTCAAGGTACTTAAAGGTAATTAGGTACTTTGAAAAGTGTAACTAGTATTTAGACAAATGTATTAGCAGCATATTACAAACAACAATAAGGTAAAGGACCTATTAATCTTTGTTGGTAAATTTTGATAAAAGAGGAATGCTAGCCTGGACAAACTGCTGCTCTTCTTCAAAGTATGCCCATGAGATGTTTAAAATCCATCTGAATTATGTGGAGAAACAGATGGAACTTTGGTTTAAGATGTTACCTAAAGTGGATAATGCTTCTTACGATACAGCTCTCCCTCAGTAATACAGTGGAGTGTCAATCTGGTTTATGATTTTGTGTTCTGGTACACAAATGGCAACTGAATGTACTTCCCATCAAAAGGGAACTCGAGTAGGAGAGCATTACAGATTGAATGAGGGCCGGGAGACCAATCACCATACAAGTTGCATGGATTTATACAAGTGTAGTGGTTCAAAACCTTGTGTCCTTTTTTAAGTTAATGAATTTCTGTGAACTTGAGGTGTTTACCTTGAACGCTTTTGTCTTGACTGAAATAGTCATTAAATAAATATACCTGTCTTTTAACAATAATTAATTGTTGCATTTGATGTCAATAAGACGTCTTAAAAGTGCTTCACAGCCTTTTGCTGTAAAGCGTTGTGACTCTACTTTGGAGGAGAACCCAACAGCCAATTTATACACAGCAATGTCCTGCAGACTGAAAATGAATGACAGGGAGATTGTTGGGCAGGACATTGGGAGAAACTTTTTAAATATTGCCTTGTGATTTTTAATGTTTACCTGAACAGGCAGGCCGGGCCTCAGTTTTAACATCTCAACTGAAGGGCGACACCTTTACCAATGCAGTGCTCCCCCACAGTATTCGAATGTCAGCTGAGACTGAACAATGAGTAAGGCGCTGGACAGTCAAGAGTTTGCACCCGAGCTGGGGGTTGGAATTAAGAGGGTGGAGGGCAAATGGTTGGAGGTGGGAGGATAACTGAAGGCATGGTCAATGAGGAAGGTCTTGAGATGGGCCTTGAAGGAGGCAACGCGTGGGGTGAGGAAAAGGGACTTCGCGATGGGATGCCAGGGGGTGAGGACAGAAAGGCTGAAGGCCGGCTGCCGATGCTAGAGCGGGCAGAGCAGGGGACATGGAGCAGGTCAATGCCGAGAGGAGTGTGCGGGCAGGTTGCTAAGGTTTTATTAGGTTGCAGAGGTAAGGAGGAGGAAGACTGGAGAGCTTAAAAGTGAGGACAAAGATCTTATACTCAGTCCTCTGGGCAATGGGAAGCCACTGAAGCCTGGCGAGATGGGGGTGATCAGTTCACGGAGCTTGGTATGGGAGAGGACATGACCTCTCAATGACATGAGTTCTCAATAAGCTACAGCCTGTGGAGGGAAACGTTGTGGGTTCACTAGACTAACACCCGCAAGCAGGGTGTTAGTCTAGTGAACTCACAACCTTCTGACTCTGAGGCAATCTGCTACCACTGAGCCAGGCTTATACTTGAGGCTTTATCATTGTCAGGTGTCCGCCTAGCTCAGTTGGTTGCATTCCTGTCTCTGATTTGGAGTAAATCCTGTGAAGTGTTTTGAGATATTAAAGCACTTCACAGGATGTAAAAAGTGCTACAGCAAATGCAAGGATGATTATTATTATTACACTTAAACCCTGAGCTCACCATTAACAACAACAAAATTACATTTGTAGAGCGCCTTTCACATCGGGAAGACGGAGGAGATCCGGTCTTGTGAGCTGGAATTTCTAGCAAAGTATAATTGCAATAACGATACCGGCATTTACCAGCCTTTTTCATAAATGTCGGTACCGTCAGTGTAATTGTTTGAGTTCCATGAGCAGAAGATAGCAAATAAACTATCTGCTACTTGCAGGATTCAAACAGTCTGAGTCAAAGTCAATATCTCTGGCCAGCAAGCCTGGTGAGGCTGCTCGGTGTGAAAGGGTGGGTCGGCGGGAGTCTACATGCCTGCGGGCCAGTGCAAATTTTAAAAAATATATTTTTTGAATCCGGCTTGTACTGAATTCCGGATACGCGGAGTCCAGTAAGATGGGGATTTACTGTATTATAATTCTCCGAGTTTATAATTCTCAGAACCTATATAGGCTCTATTGAAAATAGCACCTTGGTTACATATTACCCAGAAAATGGTGTTTGGATTGTGAAACAGTTGATTGGGGGGAAATAATTTCCATTATTCTGTCTGGTTTTGCAACAGTCTGAAATGTATAGTAGATTCCACTGTGAGAATACAAACAGGAAGCTATGTTATAATACAGATAGCAATAAGGCTGTAGAAAATCTAGTTTTGCTCTTTGTCTTCCATGAAGAAAAGACCTTGGATCAGCTTATCATGAAACAGAAATGTTAGAAGGTTGATGGAATGTACAAACTGTTGTTACCAGTTAGTAGGGAGTGATGTGCCTGGCAACCTTAAAGGCCATTCAAAAAGGGCCCATAGTCCCAATTTAAGCTAATTTGTAAACATGTGACTCATTGTTAGATTGATCCTCCGAGAATCTACCGTTTTGGAGATTTAACCCAAATCTGTGGCAGAGCAAAGAAGGCTGCTGTAAGTGAAGGTGTCATGTATATGTGTGTCTACACACTAACTGTGCTTGATGAGCACTATTATTTTTTTCCCAAACGTTTTCTATAGAGCTCGTTCAATTATAACCCACATATTAACCAAGATAAGAGGGCAAGAAAATAATCTCTGCAGGAGAGTGAGACATATTCTTTTTTCTTGCATTCCCCAAAAAGATGCTTCAGTCTCCAACTGGCACCATCCTACGCAATGTGGTCCAGATTAGGAACTGAACACTCAGGGCAATTTAACCGGCCAAGCAAGTGAATTCCCTCCATATGTCCTGGTTCCACATGGGTTAGGGATTTATCCTATTATTAACTTCAGTCGGGCAAATAGTGATATAATATTTATCTGCATTCAATAAATGGTGTGAAAGGTGTCTATTGTAGCTCTCAAGAGGGAGTCAGGCAGGCATATGAAAGAGAGTGCCTTGAAGGGATATGGGGATAAGGTGGGGAGGTGGGATTGATGTGATCTCCTTGTTCTGTTAGCCGGTGCAGGCTTAATGAACTGAATGGCCTTCTCATGCGCTGTAGATATCTATGCGTCTAAATGTCATGATAGCATTCTTGTAGTGTTGTTACTTGTGTAATCTGTACTGTAATCAGCAGCTACATCCCTTTGGAATTCCTTCTCAGTACCTCTCTATCTTTCACCTTTCTATCTGTCTTTAAATAATGCCTAAAAAGCTGCGTCTTCACTTGTGTCTATCGTCACCGGGGAAGGGTGCAAGTTGTTGCAATCTCATTACTATATGAAAAGCCAACTTGTAAGTCTTTGTTTTTATGCTGCTCTTTGAGATTTTGCAACATTTTTTAGTCAGCAGGGAGTCTGATAGATGAGGAAACCCATCACCATGCTTAACAGTATCCAAGTCAGACAGGGTTTGTATGCCACCTACACAATGCAATGTCCCTGTATCTGGAATGGAATGTGC